CTTTTTTATTTGACAAGATATCTTAACGAAATTTTGTATAGATTATTGTCCAAGACACTGCTACTGTCTCCGAAAAAATAGTTCAGTTCGGACCACTATAGCATATAGCTGTCTAACTACAAACTAACCGCTCAAAATTAAGTTATTGTATGGAAAAGTTTTTTATTTTACAAAGCTACAAACTCCGAAGTAATGGTTCAGTTCGGACGACTATATATTTGTCATGCAAACTGAAAGACCTTTTATGCCCGTAAGAAATGCACTGGTGCAAACGGAGTTAACGTTTTTTCTAGTTTTCGTATAATATTAACTTAAACAACCCAAGTGTTTACTTGAAGTTTATTAGTAATGGTTTTTTGTGAAATTTTTGTTTTGATTTAGTGCAGCAAGCAAGTTCCGCCCGCACTTCGCAGTGGCCTTTGCTGCGAACTGCTGTTTTTTTTATTTTGTTTATGAACACTTGGTCAAAGGTCAAGTGAGTAGCAGCAGCGTATCGCAGCTGGCGCACTTGTTTGCTCCAATTTCCATGCGCTGTGCTATCTAACTGCAAAAAAAAAATGCAAAGAAATCGAAAATGAAAAATACGCTGCAAAGTGCTGTGCAAAAGAATGGAATAGTGAACAATTAAAACTCACTAACAACCTTTTGCTGTCAGCGCTCTGCCCTGCTGCCGCTTTCGACTTTCTAAGTATTTCATTTCATATTGATTTCCTTTTGTGTTGTATATTGAAATTTCGATTTAAATTGTTGCTTGAAGGTTGGTTTTGGCTACGCACTCATAAGCAAGTAAATTAGGGTGGTCTGAATATGGAATTGGTTTTTCTTTATTTAAAAAAAGTGACTTTAAAATAAATATTTCTAAGAATTGCCAAAGTTAACCCGGAATTTAAAGCAATTTAAAGTAATTTAAAAGCGCGTACCAGATGATTAACGTGAAAAAAAAGAGTTACTCCACCAAAAAAGAATCATAGAAATATTGTGGATGCGTCAGAAGACATTTTAGCGCAGGCTTACATCACAAGTGCTGCCCGTTTGTTTGAGCATCTGGCATAGTTTGTTCGATTCGCTACTCTCCAACGCTTAGCAAATCGTAGACAGTTAGCAAAAATTTAGAAACACCCTAATATAGAATATAATTGAAGCGCTTGCTTGGCATTTCAGCGTAATCTATTACTTTCACATGGCAACACTATAAACTAAGATTGTACTTTTGGCAGTACAGCCTAATGTAATGTCTCGCAATTCTCAACATATAAAAGCCTTTGACATTCATTCGAAAATTTCGTTTAAATAGTAATTTTCATTATGCCTAACACATAGTACGTAACCCCCGAAACAGCTTTTCGTAAAACGTTTAGCGCGAATATTAGTCCAGTTCGTTGCGTGACCACCCAGACGTTCTTTATTTTTCGTGATCTCGTAAAAAATTGCTTGTCACCTGCGGCATTCACTCGTTAAGCGCGTTTATAATAGTAAGATTCATTACGCCCTATTTTATACATGCAATTCAACAAATATTGCCTACATTCAGGCGAAGTCTACCAATAATAATACAAATTCTATGCTTTTCAACGTCGTATAAGTGCAATGATATGCAACTTATCTGAAAATAAGAATTAATATACTACAGAAATATTTTTTTTACAATATAAAATTGCGTTGGACCAACCTTAAACTGTATTTTCCTTGCTCGCTAGCATGCTTTAAGGCGCACAACCCACATAGACTGGCAATTTATGCTTACGCCTTATTTTCAAGCGCCTCAATTTCACTTTTAAACTCATACCATTGCTTTTGTCATTCACATTTCGTGCTGTAAGAAGTAGATGCCACCATACTTTTTTGTATTTTATTTTCAATTTCATTTTATTGTGGATAAAAATAGAAAATCTAATACTATCTGTGAGTGCACAGCAATGATGAGCCATGAACGCGCACAAAAATATAGTTGAAATGAATTGCAATGAAGTAGAAAAATAGAAATAAACTTAAAATCCTTAGAGCTTTGGCCAAGTCTGCATTTGTGTGGTGGTTTGTGTAGAGGCAAGCGACAGCAAGTGAAAAATGATAAAGAATTTAACGAAACATTCTTACAGTTCATGAAGCGTAACGCAAGCGAAATATTAGGTAATTTTTGTGGGCTGCGTATTTGATGAGAGCGAGCTGTAAACAAGAGCAGCGCAAAAGTAGTGCAGTATTGTAAAATATTGTTTTCTTAGTGGCATGACAATTTTAGTCTAACGTTGTCACATCACATAAACTAGGTGGCCCAAAGTCACGTACATTTTCCAATATGCTAAACCCTCCAATAAAGTTTTACGCGCTGTATTGATAGCGATATATGCGATGTACGATAAATATCGACGTGGAGGCTCAGCGAGTTCTTCAATTACTTGTATATGTCTGTAGCACTCCTCATTAACATTAACGCTTGCTACAATTTTAGTTTTAAAAAACTATGGACCTATAACACCTTCGACACGCAAATCACACCAAGCAGTTCCGATTTCTCGAAGTAGGGCGGGCCAGAGTGCATCTTAGGAACTACTCCACGATCAAATAGAGCGTTTTCTCTTTTTTACATACTCATTACGGCAGAAATGTAGCTGTTCCGAGAATATATTTAATTTGAACATATAATGATGTCATTGTAAATTTGCCACACACAACGCGAAGTTGTGAAATCTTAAACACATCTGTTTACTCTGATAGCTGGGCATATAGGTAATTTCATTACTCTAATAAAAATACCTTTTATGTGAGTTGAAAGAAATATTGCGGTTAAAGCAAGTTTATACTGAAGACCTGAAGACTTGAAGACTGCAGCGTTAGCTAACGGATGATCCAAGTATAGATACTTTTTTCAATAGCCTTTTTTTGACAGATCACGCTTGAGACGTGTCAAGCTGTCATGTTATCTTTGTTTAATATTGTTTGGCATTTTTTCATGGAAAGACCTACGCCTGAACAACGTTTACAAATCGTTCAACTTTATTACGAAAATTTACGTTCTGTAAAAAATGTATTTCGCGCGCTTCGCTCAACATATGGTCAACATAATCGCCCTATTGAGCATACTAGTCGCCACACCATCACCCAACTTGGGACCCAGCATTCATTATTGAATAATATTCGATCGAATCGGTGCATATTTCTTCAAAGATGATGCCGGTGAGAATTTTACCGTCATAGGCGACCGTTATTGCGATATGATAATAGACTATTTAATGGCTGAAATTGAAGCTCGTAATTTCGGCGACATTTGGTTTCAACAAGACGGCGCCACTTCCCACACATCACATCAACCAATGGATTTATTGAGCGAACACTTCGGTGAGCAGATAATTTCACGTTTTGGGCTGGTCGATTGGCCAGCAAAAATGTTCTTTCGAAAGATAATAAACATTTCCCATTAAATTTGAATTTTCTGTGTTTTTTTTTTTTTTTAAAGTAAGGAACCTCGAAATAGATCACCCTATGATTCAGATAATGAGTGAGGTTTACTGATTCTTTGCGGTTATATGAACTTCAAGGCTCCGAAAGACAGCGGAAAAGATGACGCTGAAGAAGTAATAAATTGTTTTTAGGTATGGCGGTAATAAGTCGTGATAAATATGAGTTTATTCTACAAATAACAGTAATTAGGTTTTAGTTGTACAATAATTTAAAGATTTCGTGGCACAATTCGAGCTTCTGTCTGCCAAATGTGGTGTTGCTGACACAACTATTTACTAAGCTGACGAACTCGCTACGTGTTATATGTGTAGACGGACAACGGCGATAAACGCTCGTGACTACAGGAGGCTTTTTAGTTGAAGTTGAAGCTAATAATATAAATACACTCACCGAATATAAATACATGTCCATTTGATTCAACTTTCGAAAGTGATTTCTAATGAGTATTTGATTTAGTGGGTAAATCTGTGTATGAAGCCCAATGCGTTTACGATATCTACTCAATCACACCAAATCTTGCTGTTGTTGTCACGGATCATCTAAACAGGGTTAAATCGCCGAAACGACAGTCCTTGGTCAGCTATAATCCGAGTCAATTCTGTTAACGTAGAACCGGCTGTCGTGGGAACTGCAACACTAAATACTCGCGGCAGTTAAATGCCTCACAAAATATAAATATATGCAAATATATGGAGAGACAACGCAGTTTTGAAGGATACACACTCACAAAAGTGCTTATTTATTTACCTTTGGTTTGTCAATGTCATTTATTGGTAGAGCCGTCAACTTTGACACATTCACTTGAATTCATTGTGGTAGAGACAATGTGTCAATGGACGTCAACAGTATTGTAGTTGGTTTACAGAACAAACAAAATTAAAAATCACACAAAGTGTATACCAAATAATAAACTCACTGAGCGCAGACAGACAGTATGCCAAATGCCGACTGATACACGCAGACGTGTGCGACAGCGTGCTCAACGTACAAATAGAATTGCAGTTCGGGAGCTCATTGACAACAAATCAAGCTAGCGAGTAAAAGCAACGCATAGAACTTTTGTTGCTTCTGTTGTTATTCATAACGAACACAACAATTGTGAATTGTCGAAGCTGGAGCATGGGTAGGCATTCGCTGTCCTCGCTGTTCGCTGCCCGAGAATGTAAACAAGTGTAGGCGTGTGGATTGTGTTTATGGAAAACGTTTGATTGCTTTACTACGATTTCGTTTGCTTTGTGCTTTCTTTTTGTTGTCACTTTTCTATACAATTTGATTCGATGCTTGTGTCTCTCGCATTCAGTGATTTTGTAGAATAGGAAATTGAAGCAGCAACCGCAAGAGCGACGCTAGAATTGCTATTAAGCCAAGCGGCTGTTTTGTGTTTTTTTATCAGTTCAGCTGCAAAGTGTTCAGTCTGAAAGCTAGATATAGGTAGTTTGAGAATGCCGTTCGACAATCGTATATGATTGCGTAGCACCAACTCATTCGTATTTCTTGCTAGTTCAACTACTAGTATTAGACGCTCCTTGGTTTCTTAGCATTTTTTTGGGTTGCAGTAACCAGGAGAATGCCGTTCGACAATCGTATATGATTGCGTAGCACCAGCTCATTCGTATTTCTTGCTAGTTCAACTAGTAGTATTAGACGCTCCTTGGTTTCTTAGCATTTTTTTGAGTTGCAGTAACCAGCACGCAGTTGCGTACGCCTTACCCTAGCTTCACAAGGAAAGTCGAGCTCTTCATCAGCTATGGGTGCTGGTGTGACACCAAGAGCACCATTTACTGGGAGCGAGTCGGTGAAGATGTTAATAGCTTCGCTGTGATTGGTAAGGTGTGCAATATCGTCGACGTTGATCAAGGAATGTTTTCTCCTGGTTTCTGCGCAAGCATCCTAGTAGAAATTGCCTAAAGAGGAGTTGGTTATATACTCTAACTGGAACCCTTAATGTGTAGGTGTTCAAGAGACGTCTTTATATTATACTGAGTGCAGTGCTCTGACAGGTTTAAAGCTTCTTCGTGTGCGTCCCACTACAGACGACCATACCGTTGCTGTGTAGTTTATGAGGGGCCGCCGATTGCCTTGTAAGTTTGTGAATATGATCACTGTGAATTTAGGGCGGAAGAGTGTTAGATTTCTTGCTGAGAAGCATCGAGAAAGGTCGCTGAGATAGTCGTTTATTTAAAATACCACCGCGGTTAGGATTTTTTGGTTGTTATTGTTGTAGCTGCAGATCCCTCAAGTAATTTGGAGTAAAGCTGTCGAATTGACAATCCTTGACCGTATAAAAATCCGAGTGCGGTCCACTTACATGGACTCGACTGTCTTGGGAACGGAATTTTTGGCTATGCATTACGCAAAGAGCACACAAACAGATTTGTTTACGCTTTACTGTGCCCATTCCGATATATGTTTAGAGTAGTCTCAAGTCATTATATTCATTCGGAACATTTGCTGAGGAAGTTAGCTTAGATTTAGCCAAATTTAATTTTTTCACTTAGCAATAGGATGAGAATTTTTTTTAAATGAAGTTTTCTTTATTTATTTTCCAGGTTTCATATGCTCGTCCTGGCGGTGAATCGATTAAGGATACCAATTTGTATGTTACGAATCTACCACGTACAATAACCGATGATCAATTGGATACCATATTCGGTAAATATGGCATGATTGTACAGAAGAATATTCTAAGAGACAAATTGACGGGCAAACCGCGTGGCGTTGCATTTGTCAGGTGAGTTCAAACGTTTTCCTATATTTGTAAGTTATAATTTTTATAGGATATATACAACGGCATTAGTCCACTTACACATGCTTCCCATTGGCAACTACCGTTATAGATTCAATAAACGCGAAGAAGCGCAAGAGGCAATTTCCGCTCTGAACAATGTCATACCCGAGGGTGGATCTCAGCCGCTCACCGTGCGCTTAGCCGAGGAGCATGGCAAAGCGAAAGCGCAGCAATACATGTCACAGCTGGGATTGATTGGTGGTGGCGGCGGCGGCGGAGGCGGTGGTGGCGGTATGGGTGGTCCACCACCACCACCCATGAATATGGGCTACAACAACATGGTGCACAGAGGTAGACAAAATAAATCACGTTTCCAAAAGATGCATCCCTATCATAATGCACAGAAATTCATTTAAACGATGAGAAACTTTTATTAAATAATCGTACATCGTAGTAGTGTATGTATGATGAACAAGAACGATAATAACTATTGCTGGTATAAGAGGAGCGCAGTAAGCAGCGCTTTTGATGATGTTGCTAAAAGAGTTTTTTTCTTTATTTACGTTTTTTTTGTTTGGCAAAGCGAGCGCATGAAGCATTTTTAGAGACAAACAGACAGACAATGCAAGAAAGCGTGGAAAGCTGAGCAAATATAAGTTAATATAATAATAATTTAAAATATAAACGAAATAAAAGCATTTTTTTCCTAAACTTCAAAGCAAAATAAAAAAAAACAAACACAATACAAGCAGTTGTTAGATGAACTAATATATAATAATTTTTTTGTAATTTTTTGTTTAACGTTTCCCATCCCCGTACATAGCAATCTATTATTATAAAAAAGAAAACGAATAATTCAATAATAATAATCTGTGTGGCTTCTGTTTACGCAACACTCTTGCTCTTATAAGCAAAGTAGCGTCAAACCTGAGCCTTAATTATGAAAACCTATGCCTGTTTTTATTTACAATTTTTTTTTTTATTGTTTTATTTTGTCGGTATGAGTATACCAGGTAACAGATAAGTAGCTGCTGATTCTCAAGATTGCGGCAATGTTTGATGAATATTTTTTATGATTTGCCGAAATAATTCATATAATATAAGCTGAATTAATTGAACACACCAAATTTTAAATAACAAAAATTAATTGTAAAATATAAAATCTCAAATAAATTACAAACAAAAATTAAAAAAAAATTTGCAGCTGTTACAAATTAAGTTATTGGCTAAAACAACACAAAAAAAAATATGTTTCGGCTTATAAAAAATATTGTATTGGCTAAAATGCAGACAAAAAATTAAAAATATTTTTTATATTTTTGAAAAATATTTCGGCTGATAAAAAAAGTTATTGGCTGGCTAAAACAAGCAGAACAAATTTAATATATTTTTTAAGTTGGAAAAATATTACGGCTTATAAAAAATTATTTAATTGAATTCTTTTTTATAAGCGGAAATATTTTTCCAACATAAAAAATATATATTTAGTTTGTTTTGTGTTCTAGCCAATAACTTAATTTTTATCAACTGAAATAATAAAAAAAAATTAAAAATATATTTTAATTAAAAGTATATTTTATTTATTAGTTTATAATAAAAATTTAGTTATTGGCTAAGGCACAGAAAATAATTATTGCGGCTCATAAAAAATATAACAGAAAATAAAATTGATTTTTGTTTGTCAAAATAAATAAGTGTCAAACGAAAAATTTTGGTATTGATTAATCGAATCATCAGCGTTTCTTAAACTGCAATTAATATTAGTATAATTATTTTTAAACAATTTTCGATTTTTTTTATATTCATTTTAATATTCTTATGTCGTAGTTGAGCGATTAATTGAAAGTTTTACATACATACATATATACAAACATGATTGCTTTACAAAATAAAACAACACATACCTATATAGCATATATCTATAAGAGACCTTTATTGTCCGAAAATTAAAAAAAAAAAATATGTTTACTAGTGAACATTTACTAAAAAAATTAAAATTAAGCGTGATGGTATAATATAGGTATTTTTTCTTTGAAAGCAAAATATAATGGCTAACTATAATCTATATATGCGTTCGATTAAATTTTTTTCTTACTGATTAAGGAAAGAATTTTTCTATTTTAAATTTTTTTTTAGTTTTCCTTAATTTTTTTTAATAAAAATTTAATAAAATTCAATCTAATTTTTTTATTTATTTTATTTTTTTTTATTTTTTTTATTATTAAAAAATTTTAATAAAAAAAAAAATTTATTTAAACAATTTTTTTTCTGATTTTATATTAAGTCATTTTTTTCTGTAAGCGAAGTATGCTTAGTGAAAGCATTAGGCGCAGCGCAAATAAAGCAAAAAAATAAAAAAAAAAATTTTTTTGAACCCTCTACAAGCATTTAAACATTTTTTGTAATTTTTGAAAGACATACCAAAACGAGCGAGCTTTGCTTATGAAAACTTATCATTTCTAATTGTTTAATTGAAATTTTGTATACACATAATATATTATTTTTAGAAGAAATTCAGAAGTATCATTGTATTTCATTTTTTTTTTTTTTTAATAAAATTGCAATATATACACCCATCAAGCACACTTTTCGTTTGTTTTTTTGTTTTCCCTTGCGATTTAGTTTTTATTTTCATAAACTAAAATTTGTTAAAATATCATTTCACATTTAATTTTTGTTGTTTAATTTATTAATTGTCTTTTATAACATCAAAATTTATTTATATTCACAAGTTTACCTCTATAGCCAGCCTAGAAAAAACAAAAAAAAAGCCAATCGTCCTGAGACTCAGCATTTTTATAAAAAAAAGCAGTAAAAATTATTATTTTACTATAATCATAATTGCTTATGTGCTTAAAAACACTCGTTATTATACTACTTATATCAAAACTTCTCTACAGCAAAACTTCAAACTATTAAAATTTTGTAAGTTTTTAAAAAATATTTGTAGATTTTCATTTTATTTTCAACAACAAATCAAAATAATAAATCTTTCACATTCCTTCGTCAAATACTTCAAATAATAATTTTTCCGTTTAAACAGTTAACATTTAAAAAATAAACCATCAGTTAGACTCTAACCTATTGCTGGTTTATTAAATTTTTTCATTGCACATAATAAAAAATTAATACGTTTCCTTGACTCATAACCCATAAAAAATCTAAGCAGTTTATTGTCTGTTTTACTGCTGGACTGGATATTCGGGTCTAACACGTTCAATTATTTTCCACAAACGATGGAAAATGCCTAAATAGTATTTTCCATTAACAGTTCGACCATCTGAAACAAATTCCTTGTGGACAATACGCTTCAAATCATAAACAGTAATCAACATGGTCTTGATTCGAGACTTTTGAAAACGCAATTTTTTGAGTTTAGCCTCGCTTTTTAATTTTAAATTATTATTAACCTAAAGTTTAAACATTTAATATCTAAAACCATTAAAATTAGTGTTGCCAAATTTTCGAGAACACGTAAAACCAATTTAATAAATACATTGAAAGTGGCAATGTTATACCAGAGACAGACATATTTTTCCTCCAAAGCAAATGGTGTTTCATATTACATGTCTGCGGCTTAGAGAAGCATTAAAAGTTTTTGGTGAAATGTCTTGAAATACGTAGAAATCTGTTGCCAACTATGCATTATCATCCAAGAACCGTATATATAAAAAGTTAATGTATAAATATTAATAATTTTACATTTGCCAAATTTTCGAGAACACTTAAATCCGAATTTCTTACGTTTGAAATAAAAGAAATCTTCTTGATGAAAATGTAAAATAGAATGTCACTGGGAGAGCTTTTGCAACTATGCAATACTCTCAAATTAGTTAAACAAGTGCAACTCACTGTCGTTTCCAAATATGTAGGTCTACAAAAGCTGATCGATTCGCCGTGACCATTATAGTTCAACTTAGTAGCTGAACTAGAAGTAATTTTATTTCACTGACAATTATACCACCTGCGGTCACGTTTAACACGGATGGGTGAAGATCAAATTGCAACAGTGTTTCCACACATATATAGGGTGGGTGGTGGGTGTGGAAGGGCCTTGGGGGATTTTGACGGGAAAGGTTGTATTGTGCTGTGTTTCTGTTTGTTATGTGAAGGCAGTGTTGTAGTAAACTGTAACGAGTCAAAACATAATTTTCCACATATATTTCCTTTTCACAGCACAGCTTTTCACGTTGAAAACTCCCGTGCGTTTTGTGCTGATATGTCAAGCAAAGAGTGCGGTCTACTTTGTACGCGGCTTTAAACTCGACTGTTCGTGCAAATCTGCATAAAATTTATGTTAATTAAACTACAACTATATGCTGCGACTGTTTAGCAGCAGTTGCGTGGCATTTTTAAGCCACTAACGCGTTTTTCTTGCTTATTTGCATGTGTATATAAATTGATGCATGCATGTGCATTATTTAGCTAAAACTAACTTGCGTGGCCTTTACAGCGGCCACTCTAAATTTTTTGTTTACATTTGAACATGAATGCGTTTAATTTATGTGAAGTCAATAATCTATCGATTATTGGTGCACTTTGTAGTCGGTACATAATTGAACGCTTATCAACAGTTTTCGCTCATCTAACGAAGACTATGCTGACTGCATTTTTTTATGAAATGCATTGCAATTGAGTCTGTAATGGTACGATTTGAAGTAATTTTTTTTTTATTTGTAACTGGCTATTTATGCTTAAAAACGACGATATTCTTGTGAATAATTTACTTTTTTTTGCGGGATAATTACTTTTTAAATTAATGCATAAAAGATTTTTAGTTAATAAAAATGTCAAGGTTTATTTCATATTTAGTTATTTTATTATTTTATACATTTTTTAATTAATAAAATAAAAAATTTTGATTTTATTTCTTAAATACTTATTTTATTATTTTTTAATTAATAAAATAAAAAATTTTAATTTTATTTCTTAAATGCTTATTTTATTATTTTTTCTTATACAATTTAACACATATTTTCAACATAATAAATTAATAATTATGAAACAACAAACTTCAAATGCTTGTAAGCTATTGAAAATAATTATATAAAAAGTTTATTTAAACAATAAAATTGAGGTCTTCTTATTTTTTTCTATTATATATACTATAATTAAACATTTATACTAAGAAAACATGCGAATCGCTTGTTTATTAGCCGTCTAGCAGAATTTTTTTAAACTAAGCCACCAAACCTTCGATAAGGAGCATTTTATGCAAAACATTCGTCGAAAAGAAAGAAATAAAATTAACTTTAAAATAGCAAATATATCCACATTTACCTATTATATAAACATAGTAAAACATATAATATTATGAATATGAACCATAGTACTAGATCGCGTCATTGCAGCGTTTTTCTTCAAATAGAAAAATTAAAAACTGAAGTAAAAAATATAATAATTAGTTTAAAAAAACAAAAAAAATATTTACACACATAGTAATATGAATAATACATTCGCAAGTACTTCAATATTCATGTCTGTATGTAATTAAATAAAAATGCTAAAATACATATTTTTTTGAATTTTTTTTACCAAAAAAAAAAATGCAACCTTGTTTGCGCAAAGGCAAATGACATTTGCGTGTAGCGTTAATTGTACCTTCACAACATTCAGCGGGAAGTATTTTTTTCGTTTTTGTTGTTTTTGTTCATTTTTTTTCTAGCTGCCGGTTATGCAAATACATTACAAGTAAACCAAACATACAAAGTAAAATTAAAGCAAATATATTTCGCAAAGCTCGTTGTGTGATAACCAAAAATCACGTGCGCGCTCAGCAGCAATCAGCCAAAAAAAAAATCGAAAAACAACGGCAAGTAAGTACTTCTATAAACCTCCTCACTCCCGTTACTACGTAAACTTCTTTCCGCAAAAGAACAAAAAAAAAGTTGCTGGCTGCAGCGCCTTCCACAACACACATTCCCTTGCTGCAGTAAAAAAAATATTTAAAAAAAAATAATGAAACAAATTCACCTGGGCTGTGATTGTTGTTCGTGTTGCAGCCGCTTACAAGGCGGGTATGCATTGTTTTTGTTATTTTTTTTACAATACGTTATATTAAATATCAAGCAATAACTAATTTTTTGTTAATATGTATTTACTGCAAATTTTTTTTATAGATTGAAAACGTGATTTAGTAGATATTCGCAAGTATATCCAAATGTTGTTGTTGTTCCCACTGAACGAAGGTGAGATTTTTTTTGTATTTTTTATCTAAACTTAAGTACATTACCACATACATGCATTTGCAAAAATAATAAAAATAAAAAAAATATTAGGGTGAACCAGAGTGTTGTAATATTATATATAATATATATATATATTTTTTTTTTTGCTAAATAAAAAATTATGTCATATCAATTGCATAAATAAAGTATAGCTTTATTTTTAACTGTCAAAACAAACAAAAATTTAAAAAGAAACACTTCTTTCATGCAAAAAACATTTTGAAAAGAGAAAAAAACGGCCACAAATTTGATATTGATTGAATTTTTTTTACGTAAAAATTACAATTTTTTTCAACATAGCAAATGTTAACGAAATAATCGTTATGCAGCAATTAAAATTTTTTTTTAGTAAAAATCAATAACTTAATAGTCTTTTCGTGGTAGTTCTACTTTACCATGTAATGATTAATTTTTTTAAGAATCGCTAAACTTTGTGCGTAAAATGTTTGAAATTTATTCTAGAGAACATTTTTTTTTCTAAAACCACGCAAATTTTTTTTTCAATAACCTATATTTAATACATAGTTGTTCCCTTAAGCTTTTGTAGTATGAATTTTTTTTTTTTTTTTTTGTAAATAGTGAAAAGAACAAAAATTGCTTTTGTATCTTTTTTCTGCTCTTAAATTTTTTTCATTTCACATTTTTTAATTTTTGTTTTTACGAGAAATATTAACTGAAAATATTTTCATAATATTTTATATTTATTAATTTTTTAATAATAATAACTTTTTTTTATGAAACGCCAATTTTTGCGCATAAAATGTTTGAAATTTATTCAACAATAAAAAAATAACTTTTTTCCTAAAACTGACCTAAATTTTTAACAACATATATTTTTACATATAATTTTGTTAATTTATGAATTAATCTTTTGTGGTATCACAAAACAAAAAAATGTTAATAAAAAAAATAAAATATTATAACAAAAAGCTTTTAAGTAATTTTTTAATAAAAATATTTTCTTTTTTAATTTTTTGCTTTTAAATTTGTTGATTAATTTTTTGTATTTACGAAATATATGAATATAATATGTATTTTCGTGATAAACATAAGGTTATTATTTTATTATCATAACATTTTTTTTAGCTTTTGTTTGTTTGAAAAGTATATAAATATGT